TTTCAATGGGAAAGCAGTTACCTTCACCCAGAGGATCGCAGCAATGTGAAACACATGCTCTGGAAGAACATAGAGACAGAATCGATTGGGATATTTAAAAGGGAGATGGGTAGATACACGGGATGCAAGTGTCTAACGGTGTAGAGAAATGGGTTGAAAAGATGAGCCATCATTATGTAAACTGGGACATTGTTGTACCAAATTGTTGGCCTATTTGCCTACAAATGTATACAGTACAGTAATTCCAATGACGTGCTTCAAAGCATTCCCCTGACGTGAAAGGCGCAATAAATCAAATAAAAAAGATTATTATTACCTTTTGAACTGAGTCTATGGTTACCATCCCCTAACCCCCCACACCACTCCCCACAACATGCTCCCCCACCCCACTCCCCCCTTGCTAGGTGTCCCAACCCCCATTGGGCAGGGCTTCAACACACCAACCTGCATGACGGCTGCTATATGAATTCAAGAAGTGGTATTCCTACATTTCTATCAACAAGGCTGATCAAATACTGGAAAGCATTTCAAGGCCATTTGATTATCCGACAAAACAGGTTCTTCCAACTTTGTACAGATCTCTCCTGAGGCCACAGTTAGAAAACTATGTGCATTTTTGAGCACTCTACCTTGAAGGTAAGATTGGTGTTTCAGAGATACACTAGAGTATCAGAGATACATTAGTGTACTAGAGATACACTGGGAGGATGAACACAGAAGAAATTCTGGGCAGTCTAAAGTGCAGAAGGCTTTGGACTATGAAACAAGTTGAGTAAAGCACATCCCACTTGCCAAAGGTAATCTCGCTACCATTTGATAAAAGTTTTTTTTAATCTTAAAAAACACTTTAAGGTGAAAATCTCTAATGGCCCTAGTCCTAAGATTGAAGTTGGAGCAGAATTTTAGAACATTTTAAATTTAGAATTTATAAGAACATAAGAAATACTAGACGAAAAAAAGACCATGGTTCATCAAGATAGCCTTCCACCTCCTGGCAGTTGCATGCAATATAATAATAATAATAATAATAATCCTTACATTTGATAAAGTGCCTCATCACGTTGTTGAGACATCTCAAAGCACTTCACATGATACATTGTTAAGTGAATTGACTATATATTTTATGGGCAAAACGCAGCAGCCAATTGCTCCCAAACTATCTATGTACTATATCCCACAATGTTATTTCCTAAATGAAAACTATCTAATCTGTGTTTGAAGGAATCAACATTTCCTGCTTCAACAGTCTCCCTCGGGAGCCTGTTCCACAGGTTTCACTCACTGAAATAGTGTTTCTGTAGATTTGCTTTTTTGTGGCTGTTTGTGGAACATTGTGGTGAGCAAATTAGCTGCCATGTTCACCACAAAACACAGTCACTATAATAGAACAGTGAGGCTTTGCTTGCGAATGAATATTTCTGACGTGCATAAAAAAACCTATTAAAGTCTGAAATGATCTTATACGAGATACAAACCATGTGTAACTGCATTTATACAGGTGTCCGTAATTATACAGTTAACAAAGATTACAGGATCTGCTTAACCCACCTAATGGACAAGGTGTGTAATAAAACATGAATATTTACTCTATTGTAGTGTCAGATTCCTTTCGCTCTCAATGGTAAATTGTGGGAATAATGCAAAAGCACCACCTTCTGGACACTGGTGGCTTTTCTGCTTGTTGTATTTTTTAAACTAATGGCAGTGGTGCAAAGAAGTTTACACATCTTCTAAATATTTACAAAGAATGTACAGCACGGAAACAAACCATTAATCCCAACTGGTTCATACTGGTGATTATGCATGAGTCTCTGTCCACCCTTTACTCATTCCCATACCCTTCTATTCCCTTGTCGTTTTGATTCCCTAGTCAACTGTCTTGACGTCTCAACAATGTGATAAAGTGCATATGTCAAATGCAAGGATTATTATTATTATTATTATTATTACTTGTGTCCCCTGATTACGGACTCCACAACCAGTGGGAATAGTCTATTTATGCTAATCTTATCAAACCCTTTAATAATTTTAAACATTTCCGTTAAGGTCTTCTCTTAAATGTCTTTTCTCTAGTGAAAAAAGGTGAAGCCTGTCCGATCTAACCTGATAGCAGTAACCTGCCAGCCTTGGTATCATGTTCATAAACCTACGCTCTATTCCTTCCATCTGTGCTGTATATCCTACTTGTAGCTCCTTGGGACGTCCTCTCGACGTGAAAGGCGCTCTGTAAATGTAATTTTGTTGTTGTTGTAGTTTGGCAGCAAAAAACTGCAGCACATAGGCCGATGATTTGGACAGCCCTCGAATATAGACTGGAGTAAGTGGCATTAATTATAATAAACCAAAGTTGCAGTCTTAATCAGTAAATGTTGCAATAAATGCTTGGTCAGTGTTAATGCCATTCACATCTTCTGCTTTATGGTAATCTTCTTACAAATAAATGTATGTATGTATGTATGTATGTCTGTATGTATGTATTATTGTTCATTGGTCACAAAAAGATGAACGAAGATGGGGTGGAGCTGGTGCACATGTACAGTTGTGTGATCGTGGCTGAGACTTGGCACATCACCATTACATACTGGTTGCCGCTTCTGCTGTTGCCACTGCTGTTTATAACAACGACAACAAATTACATTTGTAAAGCGCTTTCATGTCGGGAGGACGTCCCAAGGTGCTGGACATCCTGGTCAGGGATTTGGACCTGAGCAGGGGCTTGGGATCAGGGAGGGTGGCCATATGCCCGGTCAAAGAGGAAGGTCTTGAGACTTGATTTAAAGGAGGCAAAGGAGGGGCGGGCTTGGCTGGGCGGGGTACGTGGAGCAGGCCAGAGCCTGCCGAGCAGAGGGAGCGGACAGGTCAATGTAGGGTTAGGTAGGAGGTAGGAAGGAGCAAGGCTGTGGAGGGCCTTGAAGGCAAGGACGAGGATTATGGCACATTGTTGTGCACAAATTGGCTGCCACATTCACCTACAAATATACACAATCCCTATGCTTTACAGTGAAATCCAGTTTTGACTACGTGATAAGGCATAGTATCAAATGGAAGGATTATTGTGGATCTAACCATGGTTTGAAATGTTAATGAAAACTGCCAATCCCTTCGCACAGTGAGCACCAATCTGCTTCATGTCCCCACTTCCTATGCCCCCCCACCCCGTCTCACCACAATTCAGCCTTTCTGTCCCAATCTCTGGAACTCCATCCCAGAGTCCCTTCCTGCCCCTCTTTCAAGCCACATCTCGAAACATACATGTTTGACGGTGCTTTCGGTCATCGTTCCCTGCTCCGCCCCAGCCCACTCTCCTTGGCTCCCACCCCCAGCGCTCATCATTGTGAATGCGCTTTGGGAAGCTGTATAAAGACGCTGTGTAAATAAATGTAAATTTACTATCTATCTAACTGCGGAGTGAACGTTTGCTGCCTTCTGGTGGAGTGCACCCATAACTGCACAAAGACATGTTAATTGCATCGCCTTTCTGCCCACTCCTTCCGCAGTCCAACAGAACACTTAGCATGTCCTAGACCTTGCCTTACTTGCTCCATCTCCTGCAGGACATGCTCTGCACACAGGTCCCTCTCAAGAAAAGTCCCTCCGCTGCCACTTTGGGAAGCAGCATTGCAGGGCAAGGACTGGGGTTCAAATCCCACGTTCCCTTTTTTTTCTCCAGCACAAAATAGACTTTTTTTTTTGCTGCTGCTCTGGAACTGAATCCACGGTTCCAGTGAATTGGGGCTTATTTTCCCATTTTCCTACTCCGGAAAATGGGTCGACGATTTTCAACTGTGAAGCTGAGATGCAGTGGGAGACGCCGGCAAATCACTCCGACTCAGCGGACATATTAGAGACGTTAATGTAAATGATAGCGAGCTTTTTGCCCTAAAAAATATAAGGTCAATTCACGTTACAGTATATTGTGTGAAGCGCTTTGAGACGTCTCAACGACGTGATAAGGCGCTGTACCAAATGCGAGGATTATAATTGTTATCATCATTGTAATACTGTACGACATGAATATTTCCTGTACACTTGTCAAGAGTATATCCTTCTTTGTGCGACTGACTGTATCCCCCTCTGCCTGTACTATTCTCTATATAACGTACCCACTACCTGTCTCCTCTCCGCCCGTCATCTCTCTCTCTGCCTGTAACCCCTCTGCCGGTACAGTCCAGTCCCTCCGCCCCCACTGGCTCAGGAGGTGGCGCTGCTGCTGCTGCTGCTGCTTGTGGTCAGTGAGCGGTGACTGAGCCGAGCCCCGGGGTCTGGGATTGACCTGTGTCTGTGTCTGTGTGTGTGTGTCACTGCCTCAGTCAGTCAGTCTGTGTGTGTGTGTGTGTCACTGCCCCTCAGTCAGTCAGTGTGTGTGTGTGTGTGTGTGTCACTGCCTCAGTCAGTCAATCTGTGTGTGTGTGTGTGTGTGTCACTGCCTCAGTCAGTCAGTCAGTCTGTGTGTGTGTGTGTGTCACTGCCTCAGTCAGTCTGTGTGTGTGTGTGTGTCACTGCCTCAGTCAGTCAGTCTGTGTGTGTGTGTGTGTGTCACTGCCCCTCAGTCAGTGTGTGTGTGTGTGTGTCATTGCCTCAGTCAGTCAGTCAGTCTGTGTGTGTGTGTGTGTGTCACTGCCTCAGTCAGTCTCTGTGTGTGTGTGTGTGTCACTGTCCCTCAGTCAGTCTGTGTGTGTGTGTGTGTGTCACTGCCTCAGTCAGTCAGTCAGTGTGTGTGTGTGTGTGTGTCACTGCCCCTCAGTCAGTCAGTCAGTCAGTCTGTGTGTGTGTGTGTGAGAGCTGTCTCCTCAGGAGCCTGTCCTGACAGGGGCTCTGAGCTGCCCTGGGCTGGGGTCGGAGGTTGGGTCGGGGGCTGCGGCTGCGGCTGGGGTCAGGGGTTGGGGCTGGGGTCGGGGGTTGGGGTCAGGGGTTGGGGTCAGGGGTTGGGGGCTGCGGCTGGGGTCGGGGGTTCAGGTTGGGGTTGGGGTTGAGGTTATGGCTGGGGTCGGGGTTGGGGTCGGGGACATGTCCTGTGAGGAGTTGGCTCTCAGGGAGGTGGCTCTGCTCTACCTGGACAGCTCCGGGTCTCTGCACAAGTTTATCGCTGACTGTGCCCTCTACAACGGTAATCTGACCCCAGCAACAACAGATAACTTCTCCTCTACTGTCCTGTGTACTCTCTGCCTGTACTGTCCTGTGTACTCTCTGCCCGTACTGTCCTGTGTACTCTCTGCCCGTACTGTCCTGTGTACTCTCTGCCCGTACTGTCCTGTGTACTCTCTGCCTGTACTGTCCTGTGTACTCTCTGCCCGTACTGACCTGTGTACTCTCTGCCTGTACTGACCTGTGTACTCTCTGCCCGTACTGTCCTGTGTACTCTCTGCCCGTACTGTCCTGTGTACTCTCTGCCTGTACTGTCCTGTGTACTCTCTGCCCGTACTGACCTGTGTACTCTCTGCCTGTACTGACCTGTGTACTCTCTGCCTGTACAGTCCTGTGTACTCTCTGCCCGTACAGTCCTGTGTACTCTCTGCCTGTACTGACCTGTGTACTCTCTGCCCGTACAGTCCTGTGTACTCTCTGCCTGTACTGTCCTCTATCTCCCGCTCTCCTGTACCACCCTCTACATCCCCTTTGCCCTTAGCCTTTACAGTCTGTACTGTCCTCTGTATCCCACTCTCTCCACTCTGCCTGTACAATCCTGTACATTCACTGCCTGCACTCCATCCCGCAGTCCCTCCGCCTCTCCCCCTCCTTTGCCTCCTTCAAGGCCCATCTCAAGACCCTCCTCTTCAACCGTGCTTTGGACCACCCTCCTTCCCCCCTGCCCTACACCCTCCCCGATCCTGACCCCCAGCTCGCGTCCAAAACACTGACTGTCCAGCCCCTTGAGACATCCTCCCGACATGAAAGGTGCTTTACAAACATAATTTTGTGGTTGTTGTTGTCCTCTGTATCCCCCTCTCTCTCCTCTCTGCCTGTCTCCCCTACACTGTCTCTACTATCTCCCCTCGCCTGTACCATCCACTACAACCCCTCTGCCTTCATGAATTGATGATCTTGTTCTCCAGGTGTTTTTTTTCTCTTCCTTTAAAATAATGTGTACCAAAAGGACTAATAATAATAATAATAAATAGATAGATAGATAGATAGATAGATAGATAGATAGATAGATAGATAGATAGATAGATAGATAGATAGATAGATAGATAGATAGATAGATAGATAGATAGATAGATAGATAGATAGATAGATAGATAGATAGATAGATAGATAGATAGATAGATAGATAGATAGATAGATAGATAGATAGATAGATAGATAGATAGATAGATAGATAGATAGATAGATAGATAGATAGATAGATAGATAAAAGGGGAGACTTCAGAGTAAAATATACAAAATATACAGTCAACTCAAATTTGCAGTATATTCTGTGAAGCGCTTTGAGACGTCTCAATGACGTGATAAGGCGCTTTATCAAATGCAGGGATTATTATTATTATTATAAAATGCTTCCCTTGCCTGGCCTACGAAAGTGAGATCAGGGTTTTTTTTTAATTTAAGTTTGTTGCAGCTCTCTATTTCTCTCATCCTGTTTCCCCCTGGTCTATTCTCGACATTTCCTTGAATGCCCTTTACTTTAAGCGCTTTGCTATATGAATGTAAAGTCCTGTAGCTCAGTGGTTAGAGCACTCGCTTTGCAAGCGAGAGACCTGGGTTTGATTCCCAGCAGGGCGAAACCTTGGGCAAGTTTCCTTACCCCAAACGCCTGATAATAATCCCTCAAAAAAAAATTTGTCACTTCAATCCACAACTGTTTGTGGGACACTGCTGTGTGCAATTGGCTGTCAATTCACTTTACAGTCCATTCTGTGAAGTGCTTTGAGACGTCTAGAAGACGTGAAAAGCACTATATCAAATGCAAGGATTATTATTATTATTAAAGTGTATTGTATTGTACTTCTCAAGTATTTATTTCCCCCCTTTTAAACATCTCAACTTTCGATTAAAATGTTCAAGACTGAGGTGGATAGATTTTTTCTGGAGCAAAAGTGGGTAAAGGGAGTTGAGGTACAGATCAGCCATCATCTAACAGAATGGCAAAACAGGCTCGAGGGGCTGAATGGCTTACTCCTGTTCCTGTGTTCCTCATTGATTCTGCATCGACTATAGCCAACTGTGAAAGTTCCCTATCTCACATTCCCACATTCCTTCCTAAAGGAAGCTTGTTTCTGGATTCACTCTCAACCATCTTTAGCAGTGCCATGTTTGGAAACATTTAGCTTGAAACGTGTTGGAACTCTGGAATTCCATTCCAGATGGAGTCCCTGCTGACTCGACCCCCTCCCTCCCTCCCTCCCTCCCTCTCAGGCACCTTCAAAGCCCACCTCAAAACTTACCACTTTGACTGTGCTGTCGGTCATCTTTCCCCTCCCTCCCCAATCTCTTCAGATCTTGGCCCTACGCTCCTGGCACGGTACCTAACCAGAGATGTGAAGCTCTTCGAGACGTTCTCCCAACGTGAGAAGCACAACATGAATGTAAATTGTGTATCACATTTTACAGATTCCAAACAGTGCCATGCCGTTTATCACTTCTACATTTGTGTGAATCCATCTGACCTAACAGAATTGGATGCAAAGCTTGGAAACTGTGTGATACATGACCCTGTATTGGCTGCAAAGTTGTTTCAATCTGTGAGTACTGCACCTGCAAAAAAAAACATCCCAGCAATGCCGCCTCTGTCAATCTGACGTACCCTGTGATTTTATTTTAATATTCGTAATTAATGATACTTTAAAAGAAAAAAATCCAGAATTGTATTGAGATGTTTCTGACTTCTGACACGCATGTCATTGCAGGTTTGCTTTATATCCATCAAGACACTGTCATTAATTCAACAGTTAGAAACAGAGAGTCAGGTAGGTAGATAAGGAGCAAAAATACCAGCCACCTCTTAGTATTGGTAAAAAAAAGAGAGGACCCGGGTTCGATGCCTTGTAGGGCGAAACCTTCGGCAAGTTTCCTTACTCCACACTCCTCTGTTTTCCGAGCAGTAAGTAGGAACCCGGTTGTTAGTTGATTGGCGGATCTCTTTCAGGGGTAATAATCCCTTCAAAAAAATAAAATGATAATAATTTGGTCACTCAATCCACGATTACTCATGGGACACTGCTGTGCGCAATTGGCTACCGTGTTTTGCCCACAAATATACGGTTAATTCACTTTACATATTCTGTGAAGCGCTTTGAGAAGTCTAGAAGACATGAAAAGCGCTATATCAAATGCAAGGATTATTATTATTATTATTATTCTGTGAAGCGTTTTGAAAGGTCTCAACGACGTGATAAGGCGTTATATCAAATGCAAGGATTATTATTGTATAAAAGATCTGCTTGTATGGCTGAATCTTGTTCATCAATTCTATTCAGTGATGAACAGGATTCAGCCATACAAGCAGATCTTTTATACTTGCTCAGCCCAGAACATGGGGTGTCAATGAGTTGCATTACTTCAAAAGTACTGCGGAAAACCGATGTCTGAATTAAGACCGGATTTGAGACTGTTTTCCAAAGTTTTGCGCGATCTTACATTTTAAGACAATGGTCTTAAGTCTAAGATCATGAGGCCTTTGGGCGCAGGAGTTTCTACACTCCTACACTAGCTTCAAAATTAATTAAGCAAAGCTGCAACATTCCTTACAATCGTGCAAATTGCAGGAAGTAACTTGTCCACTGCTAACTTCATTCTGCTTTTCTCTAAGGTCAATGTCGTGCTGAAGCTGACGCACCTGCCCCCACTGCCCTATTATTCACTTAACCTCTGTCGCTTTCCCCGTGGCTACCAGCCTCTGAGATACTACCTGATTGAAGGGCTGGTGACTGCAATAACAACTGTAACAAAGTACACTCAAGGCGCAAGATTCCTTTGTTCCGAGTTGTGCTGCCCCTTTTCTACAGGTAAAAAAATACAGCCTGGAATCCAATTTCAAGGATAATTTACTTTTAAGATCTGATCGGATGCAATTTAATAATAATAATAATTATCCTTGTATTTTACAAAGCGCTTTATCACATTGTTGCAACGCCTCAAGACTTGGGTTGATGGGGATTCTAACTGGAGTTTCTATTCAGTGTACAGTTTTGTTAAATTAGAATAATTTGATAATTAAGTCTAATTTTAATTATCACCTACAAAAATACACACTCACGACACTCCACGCCCTAAATCTTATAAGACGCTTTGATGTTGCAACGTTGATAGGGCACATGCAAGGATTATTTTCATTATTATTATATTAATACAATAGTATGTATCCTTTGTGCTTTACATCATTACTCAACATCTTTGGTCAGGCCTTCAGCCTCTCTGCCCCCACCCTTTGGAACTCCATCCCACAGCCCCTTCACCTCGCTCCTTCCCCTCCATTGCCTCCTTCAAGGCCTGTCTCAAGACCCTCCTCTTCTACCGTGCTTTCGATCACCTTCCTATCCCTACCCTCCTTCCTGATCCCCAGCCCCTGGCTCGGGTCCAATTCCCTGACTGTCCAGCACCTTAGGACGTCCTTGTGACGTGAAAGGCGCTACACAAGTGTAATTTGCTGTTGTTGTTATTTATCCTAGGCTTTAAGTACATTCGAGTGCACACTCCAGGAGCAACAGAGTCTGCAACAGTGCGAAATGACTTCACTTGCGCGTTGTGCAATTCCCCACTCAAGGAGGACCTGAAATACAGAGTTCTGGGTGGTAAGGCGTATGGTTCCTTTTACTCTCATCCTAATTGCAAATGAAGTGCTGTCGGTCGGCAAAAATTGTTGAGAGGCGGTTGTAAATTAGGTCTGTGAAAAATAACTGCCATATACACACGGCCAGAACAGCTCAAGAGGTCAATAAGATGAAGAGTTTGCATCAATCAGCTTATAAATGCATCACTTAAAAATGCTGAAAACTCAAGGAAGTGAAACCGTGCCAATCCAAAGTTACAGACATGCTTTTCCTGTGTGCTGCTCCTATTTTCATTCCCTCTTTTTCTCCCCCTCCCACTTCTGTATTTTTTTTGGAAGAATATTTGCACTCGCATTAAAGGATGTGGAAATGGAATGCTGTACCATTTCAGTCACCCGTTCTCACAAGCAAGTAATCCCAGGATAAATATAACAATAACAACTTGCATTTATATAACAACCCTCAGGGTAGCTTTCCAGAGCGCTTATAGCTAAGATCTGCAGAGTAAAGAACCCTTTACTCAGTCCTCACAATGAAGGGGCGGGGGGGGGGGGGCGGTGAAATTCCGCTTTCAGTAAAGTTAGAGTATGCTTATTTAACAGAAAAATCCTGTTTTCCTGTAAATTGTTAGTCGATTGGCAGATTGCTTTCTGGGAGCAATAATCCCTCAAAACGAAATTTTGTCACTCAATCCACGACTGATTTGTGGAACCCTGCTGTGTGAAATTGGCTGCCACAGTTTGCCCACAAAATACACAGTCAATTCACTTTAAAATATATTCCGTGAAGCGCTTTGAGGCGTCCAGAAGATGTGAAAAGCACTATATCAAATACAAGGATTATTATCATTATTATTATTATTTATCGAATGCAAAGATTATTATTATTAAATTCCACTTAACAGCGGTGCCCATTATAAGTATGAAACCCCATTATAAGTGCACACCACTAACATTGATGAACTTTACCAAACAGTAGAAATGTGAAACTTTGCCAAACAATGGAAATACAAAATGTCACAGCCTCAGCCTGAGAAGAGGGCCCTCTACTGGATTAGTGAGGCTTTTCCATTTCTCTGGTTATCTTTTGTGAATGACTGTTTGAGTGAAATTGGTACCTAATGCCGTAATACAGATAGTTTTCTGCTACAAGGGCTGTGCTGGCAGTTAAGTAGTCACTATCCAACCATCCACAGGACCCTTAAAGCTGGGAGGGAAACTACAAATCCACCCCTGGAAGGAATTCAAGACCAGGTCCCGAAGGTGAAAGGACAGTGAGATAACTCAATTTCAATCAGAATATTCAGGACTGTGGAGTATTCCTCTATAATGCAGTATAAAAATTGAAGGTTGGAAATCAGGCTATCAAATCTTGGTAACAAACTGGCTAAGCTGTTTTGCTGGTAATTTTAAGTTTGTAAGGTAATAATTTAATTTGTAATTTTATAAGTTTTGGGATGTGTCAGATTGTTGATTGCTCGGGCTGGTCTCTCAGTTACTACGATCCATATCAAATTTTCCAGGTTGACACCAGCACATTCATTGTCTTATTTTTCCCACTTGTTTCTGGGCTTCTCACGTGGTGGGCAAAAGAACGTCAAGTCTGTGATTTTTAAGATAACTTTGCCGTAATTTTATTAAAATCAGAGAAACTTGCTAAAGTCCTTTTAAGAAAAATTATACCTTACTGAAGTACTGTTTTGGGACACTGCTGTGCGAAATTGACTGCTGTGTTTCGCCCACCAAATACACAGTCAACTCTCTTCACAATATATTCTGTGAAGTGCTTTGAGACGTCTCAACGATGTGATAAGGAGCTACATCAAATGCAAAGATTCTTATTATTATTACACATGCATATTTGGCTGTTCAAAAGTACAGTGTGATGGAATACATGAAAATACTGCAAATGTGATCCGCTTAAAAATAACCCCATTTACCGTGGAGTTCAAAGTGTTTTATTGTGCTTTCCTGTCACTCACTAAAGGCTATTAGTGAAGGACAAGTGAACAAATCAGTGGCACGTAATAACAGTGAGTTTCAAAGCGTTTGTAGCTGCTTGAGTCTGAATAGTCCTAAGTGTATTGCTCCACGCTTGGCGAGTTCTGTAAGTAGTTTCTCCAGTTCCAGTCTAGACAATGCGTGATGTATAGTACTTGAATTTCTTAATGTCACAACCACAATGTGTAATTAATGTAACTTTGCAACTGGGATGAAGGGTGTGAGTCTGTCCAAAAATTAGTATGTCTAGTCAATTAATTGAACGGCAGGGAGCTGGATAAACATTTTACTGCAGATTCGGTTTGAAAAGAGAATTTCAAACGGTATCGGGAGGAGGGAGTGGTGTGGAGTCTATCTCCAGAGCTCCTAGGTACATTTGATATGATGTGTCCCATCGGTACCTTAAATTTTCATTGTGGTGTATTGATTAGAGCACTCGTCTCGCAAGTGAGAGGATCTGGGTTCGATTCCAGGGAGGGCGAAACCTTAGGCAACTTTCCTTACTCCACATGCCTCTATTTACCTAGTGGTAAGTCGGAACCCGGTTGTTAGTCGATTGGTGGATCGCTTTCTGGGAATAATAATCCCTTCAAAGCAATGGAAAAAAGATGGTTACTCAATCCACGACTGTTTGTGGGACACTGCTGTGCGCAATTGGCTGCCGTGTTTCGCCCACAAAATATACAGTCAGTTCATTTTACAATGTATTCTGCGAAGCGCTTTGTAATGTCTTGAGACATGTTAAAGCGCTATATCAAATGCAAATATTATTATTATCAAATTGACCCCTTTACACTCTAAACTTAAAAATGGGCCACATCATCTCAAGCTGGTGATCACTGAAGAATATTTGCCAGTTGCTTCTTTCGAAAGAGGATTAACTGTTACTGTCAAGTAACTCAAGGAAATGCTGTATTTTTTTAAAAGATAACTTTTGATAACTCTTTGAAACAAAAGTGTGATTGTTATACATCCATTACAGCATTGTGTGTTTTTTTTGGTTTGTTTACATACTGGCAACAAGACAAGCAGCTGATTGAGATGATTGACCCATCTGCCCTTGGTGTTTTGAAGGGAAATGCAGTCAGTGGGTCATGCTCCAGGTATCAGTCTTTCACTGTCTTTCTGAGAGGTAAGTCTGCTTTACGTATAATAACCTGATATCTTAGTTCCACTGTAGTTTAGTTGAAACACCTAATTTGGGGTTTATATGTTCATATACTCGAGCCTCTGCTGGCATAGGGTTTGTGCATAATGCTAAATTAATGCTAAAAGATATATATACAGTCAATTCACTTCATGGCATATTAGGTGAAGGACTTTGAGACGTCTCAACAACGTGATAAAGTGCAATATCAATTGCAAGGTTTATTATCATTATTAATATTATTATTATTCCCATGTATGAGTGAGCCATTATTCCCAGCTGTCTTAAACACACTTCTACCAAAATCAATAACAACAACAAGATTGCATTTATAGAGCGCCTTTCACGTCGGGAGGACATCCCAAGGCGCTGGACAGTTGGCTCGGGACCCGAGCAGGGGGGAAATGGTCAGGGTGAGGGGAGGGAAGGGAGGGAGCGAGGAGGGGGTAGAGAGTCGAGAGGGGAGCTGAAGGCACGGTTGAAGAGAAAGGTCTTGAGACCGGCCTTGAAGGAAGAAAGGGAGGAAGCAAGACAAAGCCACTGGGGGATGGACTTCCAGAGCCTAGGGGCTGAGAGGCTGAAAGCCCGGCCACTGATGGTAGAGCGGTTAGGGCGGGGGATGTGGAGCAGACCAGAGCCAGAGAAACAGAGGATACGGGCAGGTAAGTAGGGGGATAGTAGGTCGGAGGAGTGAGTTCCCGTAGTCCAGCCTTGAGGTGATAAAGGCGTGGACCAGTGTTTCAGCAGCGTGAGGGGTGAGGTAGTGCCATAGTCTGGCGATGTTCCGGAGGTGGTGGAAGGCAATGCCAGCTGTGGCGCGGATGTGGGGAAGAAAGGACAGCTCAGGGTTGAACAGAACACTGAGGTTCCTGACTGGCTTTGAGAGGTGGAGAGTGCAGCCTTGGATGCTGATGCTGTCAGCGCCTAAATCAACTATTTATCCAACTCTTCTGAAGGAAGGCTCCCCATTCATCCCTCCCCACCCCCCCATACCTCCCCACCCCCCTCACCCACACACACCCTTCCCTCCCCACTCCCTCCGCTCCCCGCCGGTAGCAAAGGATACTTCATTGTGATGTTGATCGCACCGTCTGCACAAGACAATGATAAGCAAACATTTTCGAGAATGAAACAATACGACAGGGCAGCTTTTTTTTAAACACCTGAAATGGCACAGTTGATGCCACTGTAAACTGCTCCACCCCAGAGTCCTGCTGACAACAGCAAAAAGTCACCCAACTGAGACGAGGTAGAGCGAGTGACAGACGAGACAGAATCTCAAAATCACAGTCTTCTGTCTCGGGGGTTGTTTAAGGCCGCTGAACACATCATCCCATTATTTCACCTGTGCAAAATAACCTTTTGGAATCATGTGGTTTAGTGGCTAAACAAGCGAGAGGATCTGGGTTCAATACCTGGCACGGCGAAATGCTTGTTGATTGGTGGATCGCTTTCCGGGGGTAATGATCGCTTAAAAATCAATCAATCCATGACTGTTTGTGGGACACTGCTGTGTGCAATTGGCTGCCGCGATTTGCCCACAAAATAAACAGTCAATTCACTTCACAATATATTCTGTGAAGCGCTTTGAGACATTTCGAAGACGTGATAAGGCGTTATATCCAATGCAAGGATTATTTATTATTATTATTATAACCTGACTGCAGCCGTGAGAGTGAGAGTGAGAGTGTACTGGAAGTGTGGATTTCTTTTTCTTAAAATATCCTTTCTTTTAAATCAAAAAAAAGATGAACTTCCTAATAGAATGAAGATGGGAAACAGATACTGTGTAATTGGGATTCCAGTTCACATATACAATGGTTCACAGGTAACTTTGTGCGTGGAAGCAAACAGCATACAGCCCTGCATACTAAAAGGTAAGGCAAATTTGAGTTCTCGAGTGGTATCCAAAGATGTTGGTTGGATGCTAAATGGGCTTGAGAAGCCTAACCCAGAATGCTACTTTTGGCTATGAAGGAGGACAAGACGGCAAAGGTTAAAGGTTGTGAGGGCAGATTTCAGAACAGACACTAGGAAGCAGTTCTTTTACAAAGGAGTTAATTATTAGCTGGAACGAGTTACTATCTGATGTGGGGGAGAGACTATGAGAGAGGTTTAGATGGAGAAGGCCCTCCTGACCTCAATGCTTTCAGAACCTGTATTTTTAAAGTGCAGTCCAGAGTCCTGAACTCTACCACCTTTTCCTAGTAACTACGTCAGCTGTTGACTACCTCTGTGTGTGAAGAAATACTTGCTCCCAGACTACCCTTCACAGCTTGCTGTGAAACTCAGTGTATTACCTGCTCTGAAACCAATCTAATATTCTTGAGTTGTTCTTAATGCCATACCAACCTGTCCGCTCCCTCTGTTTGGCGGGGCACTGACCTGTTCCATGTCCTGCTGCCCTGTCCGCTCCATCATTGGCGGTCAGGAATTCAGCTTTTCTGTCCCCATCCTCTGGAACTCCATCCCCGAATCCCTTCGCCTCAAATCCTACCTCAGCTCCTCCAAGGCCCATCTCAAGACCTTCCTCTTTGACCATGCCTTCAGTCACACTCCTACCCCCAATCCCCCTACCCTCCAAACCCTTGATTCCAACTGCCAGCTTGGTGCAAACCCTTAACTGTCCAATGCCTTGGGACATCTATATATGTTCAGGAGAGAGGATTGGGTGGGGGGGCAGAATACATGTGAGCGTAGAATGCAAATTTTAGAATCCGTTTTCAATCTTTTGTTTACGTGCTGCAAGAAGACGTCTGTTGCTCTGCAAAAAAAAACACACAAGGGAATTGCATAAAAGCTATTCAGACATTATCAGTACTTAATGTCAGTAACAACAACTACAACAAAATTACATTTGTAAAACGACTTTCACGTTGGTAAGACTAAGATTTGTTGACCTTGATTTAGTAACAATGGTAATGTGTTTCTTTTTGCCTTGTTAAAGACCCGACTTCCATCAGTGATAACCTGAAGTGCCTCCTGTCTGCTACTGCCTTTTCACCCTGGAGATTCACAGCCATCCTGGCTGACATCTTTGCTCCACAGATAGTCCCTCCAGGCACCTACCAGACTCTCAAATTCAGCCTGCTACTCAGCTTGGTGCAGACCTGTGAGAAAGAAAAACAGAGAGTGCAATACCTGGACCTTTTAGTTGTTACGGGTGATACGGTTGTAGTGGACAGGTTGTTGTTGCGTTGATTTAATTAGGTTTCAAAGCATACTTACGTACGTCAGTTGGGCTCTCGCTCACTTGGCTTTCCAACACCCCACAACATCGCCCACCTCTGACTCTATCACTACCTCCCCATCCTGGGCTTCTGACTCATCGCGTCCAGACTCGATTATTCTAATGCCCTGCTCGCCAGACTCCCCACCTCCTCCCGACATAAGTTGTAGACCATCTAGAACTCTGAAACCCGTCTCCATCTCCCACACCAGGTTAGGGGAACCAACCACCCCTATCTCCGCTTGGCTCCACTGGCTCCCCATCATCCAGCGGATCAAATTCAAAATCTTCATCCTCACTCTCACATCTCTCCACAGCTCATCCCACCCTGCCACCTGATTGCCCAGACACACCCTCCACTCAATACTCACTGGTCTGCTTCATGTGCATCAGTAAGAGTAAGATTTGTTCCGCCCCACCATTAGTGGATGAACATTCAGCCATTCTACCCTCAACTCTCTGGAACCATCCTTGACCCACTCTGCCTCGGGCTTTCCCTCCTTGCCTTCAGAACTATTCATCGTTCAATCGCTCTTTCAGCCACCTAATTCCCCCTTTCCCCAGTCAGTAGTATGAAGTGCTTTGAAACCTCCTCCTAACATCAAAGGCACCATATAAATGACAATTATTGTTGTTGTTTGTTTATTTATCAATTCTGTTTTGAAGGTGTAATTTAGTCTGTGCCGTGTTAACTTGTGCATTTTAATGTATTTTAATGCAGGCTTTTAACATATAGCCTGGGCCTGGTGCCTCGTGGAGTGCGACATTTGGCATCTTGCGAAATTTTTGCTACAGTCTCCAGAGATGAACACGGGACTGGCACTGCCAATGTTCAGGCTGGCTCTGCCCTGCTCGCCAAGGGAGGAGTCTGTTACCTCGGGGAGCTTTGCACCCACAAAAAAGACAAATTGCAACTGCTCCAGACAGGTACTCGCTCTCCACCGCTGCACGCGTTGCAATAAATCAGAGGCTCCCAAATCCCTCACCGTCTCGAGTTTGAAGATAATTAATTTAACATTCAAAAATCGGGAAGAATTTTTAAAAATTCTTAATTCAAGCTTTAAGAACGTAAGAACATAAGAATTGCTGGACGAAAGAAAAACAAGGTCCATCCAGTTTTCCTCCCACCATCCTAGCAGTCGCATGCACGTGTCATGTCCCAAACTATGTACTGCATCCCAAGATATGATTTCCTAAAAATAAATCTATCTCATTTGATTAAGAACTTCAGTAAACTGCTTCTGAATTCAGATTGAATTTTTAAGCATTTCCAAAATTTGAAAACTATCATTTTAAGGCTGAGGATGACAAAATGATTTCAGTCCTCTTGTGCCTTTTTGATGGAATATCCTTCTGCCCACCTGCTCACTCTGTGTTTGTTGTTTGTACGTCAGTTTTAGAGACAAGGAGCACCACAGTATTCATCTCTGGGAAGAAGTTTGGAGAAGATCAGCAGATGGCCTTTCCGATTGAGTGCAATTTCTGGGCTTTATCTGATGCTGATGCATATCCAAAGAAAACCATGCAGCGAGAAGATGCTGCCTTTGGTTTGGTGGTAGGTCATGATCATTTAGTGCTAGTTGCAGCGTTTGAGCAAGTTGCAGTGTTCCAACATCACCCTCCGTTCAAAAACTTTTATATTTTTGGCCGACTTTTTTTTAAAAGTTTTTTTTTAAAAAAAGGTATAAAACTTGTCATTAGCATCACTGTGTAGGCAAATGATGGAAATTCATATCTACCTCCACTTAAAATTTGATTTGGGTCCAAAAAAAATCTTACTGAGCGTATCATGTTTTTTTCCAAATACATAAGGTGTTTCCCTTTTGGCAGATCCCTCTGCACTGTACATGATTTTTCCAGACCACAAGTTGGAACATGATCTGTTCCTGGAAGAGCTCCTGTAAATGCAGCTGGGAGCATGGATGAGAAAGATTGAGTCTCCTTCCCTCCGAGTGATAGTGTGGACATGTGCTGGCCCAACCGGGATTGGGGATACTCTACATGGAGCCCTGTAGCGTGATAGTTAGAGCCCTCACCGCGAGAAGCCCTGGGCCTGTGCCACAAACACAAAATTCTAAGTGTATAAAAAGGTGAAATATTAATGCTCAGAACAAAAACCTAAATGCACTCAACAGTTGTCATTTTTAAAGACAGTTTGCAAACAGAATTGTTTTCTCTGCTTAGACTATTGTTTCTCATACTAAGAACCATGACTTGTTTTGTAGTCCTATAGTCTTCAACTCTCATTACTTAGCTGATTCAACAATGAAATTTGACCCATTCTCTGGCTCTTGAGAACAAATCTGGATGAGGGGAAGTTTGTGGAAAATGCCAGGGAAGTCAGCCCATTCCTATTGAAGAATCCCATTAAGAAATACTGCAGATTAGACTCATTTATTTTTGGTCAGCCAGGTTTCTGGCACATGTGGAAACCCATCACAATGGTTAAGAGTATCCAAACTAGATTAAGAATTCCACATATATATGTTACACATGGAAATTTCCTTGTGTCTGCACACTCTCTCTGGAGGAACATTCCCTATTATCTAATTGCAGAGAGTGTTAGGCACAGGTTGGCAACAGCAAATGGTTGGAGATTGTTGCATATTGCTTTAATGAGTTAAGTGGCAATTGGATATGTGGCAATTGGACGTTGACAATGAGAAGGAAGCATAAAAGCATTCTAGGAAAGTGACTGGGCAGATTGTGGAAGAGAATGGAAGTGTAAGCTTTAAATAAAGAAACTCGTGAATCTAAACTGTATTTTGGATTTATAAATATTACAGAGATCCCCAGAGTGTGCGTTGAGATATTGCTGGAGTCTACTCAGCTAAAACTGCATATCTTGCCATTAAGATGTCTGACAAAGTTCCTACTCCTTGTCCACCCTCCCCATTAGGAATTTGGCTGAAACAGAAGAGTCCCACTATACATAATCCATAAAATGCTTCACCACATCCTTTTTTCCTACCTCTTGCTCACAGGTCTTTTAATTTATTAGGAGCCAATTAAAATATTAGTTACTGTTAAAGCTTCGACTTAGTGGGCACCAAAAATATTTTGAATAATAAATCCATTCTCTGAGTTAAGTTGTGAAAGTATTAAAAACAAAATGCAGATGAGATTAGAAGTTGCAGACAAGGAGGTTACAATCAAGTCGTGAATAGTTGTTATACATATCATTAGCAGATTTGTTTGGTGGGATGAATTTATTTATTTAGTTCTAAACCCTTACACTGTTTCTGTGCTTATTCCATACCACAGGACGTTGGCTCAGTCCCAGCAAAACTGGTTGATGGCTTTGGTCTTTTGATCTACTGCAGTGAAATCTCCAACTCGCACTCTCCTCTCCCTCTTGTACAGCACATTCTGCGGGAAGCCATGAACTCAGGCCAGCCTCACTATCCAGCAGTGCAGCAGCTCACAGCACAGGATTTTGAAGAGGTAAAACCCTTTTCCCTGAATGCATAAAAATCCTTCAAGTAAATAACCTGGATGAATCTTGTGAGTGTGGTTTTCATCTGCTACCACAATCAGAAAAAGGCTAAGAGCAAAATTGTCTGATATTCAGGCCCATTGTTAGATCTCCACGACCATTACTGTAATATTGTGGAGAGCGCGGGGGAGTGGGATTGATTTGGATAGCTCTTTTCAAAGAGTCGGCACAGACACAATGGGTCGAATGGCCTCCTTCTGTGTTGTATAATTTTATGATTCTATGATATTGTTATTATTACTTTCAGGGAAATAGGTTTAAAAGGTCTTGTGTGTGCATTCAATATATTCCAGGGACAGTCTGGCTTATATGATAGCAAAATCACTTCTACAGCTTGTGGGTTCAATGTCCACGATGGGACTTTGAGTTTACAGTCGAGACTGACTGTGGACTCTAAAGGGATATGGGGTATCTGGAGTTGAGGTACAGATCATCCATGATCTTATAGAATGATGGACTGGGCCCGAGGGGCTGAATGGCCTACTCCTGTTCCTATGACTAGGATAACACTGCATTGTCAGAGTTGTTGTTTTTCAAGTGCAATGTTAAATCGAGTTCCCGTCTGCCTGCTCAGATGGATGTTACACTACTACATGTAAAGCATGTCTCCCGATGTCCTCAGCAATAACTTCCAGATACGTTGCTCATTCACCCCATGGCTGTTTGTGGGATATTGCTGTGTGCTAATTGCCTGCAACATACACAAGATGTTACTTGACGGTGTTTACTAGTGAAGCACTTGGAGGTGTTATAGATGCTGCTGTACCTCTTTATCTGTCTTTAGATTTCACCTAAAAACCCACCTCTTCAACTACAGCTACAAACACCTGTCCCTGCCCCTCCTCTCTTGCTTAGCATCTGACCCTGTTCCAAGACATTATCCAACATAAAGGGTGCTGTATAAACGCAAGTTGCTGTTTTACATTAAATGCAATAATTACAGCATTGTATAATTATTATCATTGCACCAGTGTTGTCCACGTCTAACTGTATTTTGAATGAATAGATTATATCTTTTTTTATTAAAAAAATAATTATTTGTCTGTGTTTAATCAGCTCATCGGGTTTGCCAGGGGACAGCAGGTTGAGTTTAGTCCAGAAGCTGAGAAGCTTATACAAGGTTATTACACAGCAAGTCGAAGGGTCCGAACTGATCCTGTGCGTGGGTCAACAATTTCTCCCATTGCGGTGAAGATCTTGTAAGAACTGTTTGTTGGAAGTTATAAGTTAGTGATATTTTAGTAACATTACTATATCAAACTAAAGAAATTACGGTACATTAACATTAAGGTACATTACTGTATCAAACTAAAGGTATTAAGGAATCACTTCAAAGGTGTTAAAAGTCATACAGATGTACAACGTTGAAGATTCATTTGATCTGAAAAAATCTCAAGGTCAGTAGCTGAGAATGAATTCACTTCCACTTGAAGCTTGTTTGAATTGTAAGGGGAAGGAGGAAATAAAATAGCCCACACCATTCATTCCTCCCTTGTTTAAAAGACCTGTCACTTTAAAAGGACAAGGATATTGTTCAATCATTTTGACAGCACACTATTGAATGTGAATAGAGCTCCCTCAAAATAATCCATCATTCACATCCATATGTCCCAAGTCCCCCTACTGGGTATAAAATAACCCCGAGATAATTCAGTATGAGGAAGATTGCTAACCTCTCACCTCGGCCAGTCAGCCAGTCATTTCTGCTGGGATCTTGGTTCGAGAAATACAACTGGTGTGCAGAGTCCACCACCCATGGGCCTTCCCAAAACAGGGAAGACTTGGTCAATGTAGCCAGCTATTTTAATACAGTAAAAGCTTCTAATAAAAATTTTAAAGTAGTGATGTTAAGTACAACCACAGAGACGGGTGAGAGAAATGGAAAGTTCATGATGGGGTCTAAAGTACAGTCGTCACAACCTGGATTCGTAAAAGATTTGTAACTTGAATCCTGATGGCAACTGGATGTCCACTTCGATACGACCAGAGATAGGTATCAAGTTCCTGTGGGTTGGGGTAATGCACTTTAAGTTCAATCGTTAAGAATCGTTTGCAAAGCTGGGGTGCAGATTCTGTCATTCTGAGGTTGGGTGTACAGCAGATTGTGGCAGTGGGTTAAAAGAATAGTGAAATTATGATCCAATTCTTCCATTTCTCACAAAAACATTACCAAGTTAAAATTTGACCTATCTTTGTGATTAACATGCACTGACTATTATAGTCAAGCCTGTACTTGAATATAGCCACTCTTGCAGTTTGTACATTCAAGCCCCATGTCAGGATTTTGAACTCAGTCTAGGGTGTCACTTCAATGCAGTGCTGGTGGTGTGTTCCATTGTTAGAGGTGCCATCCTTCGGATGAGATGTTAAACCAAGATGCCTGTTCATGTGGAGATTAACAATCTCATGACACTGTTCGAAAAGCAAAGCAAGTTTTTCCCGATAATAATAATAATCTTTGCATTTGATATAGCACCTTATCACGTCTTCAACGTCTCAAAGTGTTTCACAGAATATACTGTAAAGTGAATTGACTGAATATTTTGTGGGCGACACGCGGCAGCCAATTGCGCACAGCAGTGTCGAACAAACGGTTATGAATGAGTGATCAAATTTTTTTTAAGGGATTATTACCCCTGGGAAAGTGAGTCGCCAATTGACTAACAACCAGGTTCCTACTTACTGCTAGGTGAACAGAGGCTTGTGGAGTAAGGAAATTTGCCCAATGTTTTGCCCGGCTCGGGAATAGAACCCAGGTCCTCTCTCTTGCGAAGTGAGCACACTAACCGCTACGCTACAGAACTCCACAATATCCTAGCTGACAATCCCCCAAATAAAATTGGTCACTCATTCCATGGCTGTTTGTGGGACCTTGCTGTACGCAAACTGCCTGCCATGTTTCGGCCACAAAATAGTCAATCCACTTTACAGCATAGCACTTTGAGATGTCTCAACGTGATAAAAGCGCTGTGTGAAATGCAAGGATTACTACTGGGATTATTAAAATACAGTCACTACACTTTACCGTAACCTGTGAAGTGCTTTTAGTATCTGTGAAATATGCTATATTAATAATAATCATGACTATAAGTATACAAGTGTGAGGTGTTTTGTACATTATATTGTCAAGTCTAATTGTATGTATTACCCTATGCTAAACCTTCATTAATTTTAATAAAGTCTATTTGGCCCCGTTACCTCAGCTCTAAAGTTAGCGCTTTAGAGCAAACACTTATATCTATGAACAATTTAGCGAATCTATGCTGCAACTTTTCTATCCTTCCTTATAATGGAGCCATTCATTTGCAAAAAAAAACTTTCTGGAAACAGCCTTGGGGGGAAAAAAAGAGCTCAAATGGCACATTCCTGGCCTCTGAGTCAATTTCAACTTTGTACCACTCTGTTGATAATATCTGACTTTTTCATTTTATTATTAGTCATGACTCTGAGGAGTTTAAAGATTACTAGTTTTTTTGAAAAAAATAAAAATGTCTCAATTTTTTCCAACCTTTAAATGGTTTGTATCCTCATGACCAGAATGTCTGTGTGTGAAGCCCACGCCAAGCTCAGCCTGAGAGCTCGAGTGCTGCAGGAGGATGCTGTCATTGCTATTCTGTTATACGAGACTTCCATCACAGCTCGGCACGGTAGGCAGCTGACTGAGTCCTTGACGCTTAGGAAACGTAGTCTGGATTGTAATTGTTCTGGTACAACACTTTTTACAGCTTCAGGCATGTCCTGTCTGCTGCAAAAGTGCAGCAGAAGTATGGCATGATCCAAACCCTTAACAAGGAGCTAACAAACTCAGGATTGTGATCGGGAGTTATAATTATCCTGATAATAATCCTTGTATTTGTTGTAGCACCTCATCACGTTGTTGAGAAGTTTCAAAGCACTTCACAGAATGTACCATAAACTGAATTGACCATATATTTTGTGGGTGATGTGTGAAGAGGAGTTAATAATAATCCTTGGATTTGATGTAGCGCCTTATTAAGTCTTTGTGATGTCTCAAAGCGCTTTCCAGAATATACTGTAAAGTGAGTTAACTGTATATTTTGTGGGTGAAACGCGGCAGTCAATTGCGCAGCGCAGTGTCCCCACAATCGTGGATTGAGTTAAGGGGAAATTTGGAAGAAATATTATCGTACATGAGTACAAGTGGTAATTGAAACTAATGACCATAACAGTTTAAAAATTGGGTTAGGTATTTGAAGAGAAATAATTTAAATTACCGTGGGGCAAGAGAGGATTTGGAATTTGGGTACATAGCTTCAATTAAGTTCTCACCAGTATGTTTGATGGACCAAATGACCACCTTTTACACTGTAATTTTTATAATCCTATCTGCGCAGGGGCATCAGTTCTGTGTGTGGCTCCCAATGCTGTGTTTCCATTCGATCTGATTGATGAACACAGTCTGAATCAGAGGGACCTGTACCTGACACAGTTTCATCAACACTTATTGCAATTCTGTGCCACATATGCTCCCGGGATGTCGGTGCACTTAATTGAAGAATAATTTGAAAAGTTTTGCCTGCACTCTATTGACAGTTCTTTCAGATTGTTACTTTTTATTCAGCAGAAATTTTAAAACTTACCATTAATTCCCAAACACTTCTACTCAAAGTAACTGAAATTTTAAAGGTAATATAAAGATAACATAAGAATGTTGTGAAATCTAGTTTCAAATCTGTTGTGCTCATTTTGAATGTTATTTAAGATTTAATGTATTTGTATAATATTTGACATTCGAATTAATCATCATGTGAGGAGAAACCAAGTCTTTGCATGTGCCACCCCACATTCTTGCCTAGTTAGGAAGTCAGTGAAGGCGTGTATTCGTGAGCGATGGGGTAAATGCTACATCTGTGATCCTGTTTGTCTTGCTTTACAATGACAAACCTTTGGTCTAATTCTGCATGCTAAACCTTTATAGTTAAGTGTGATGTGAAGAATTGTCTTGAGCTGTTCAAAGGTAATTGGTGTATGAAGGTGGTTTTATAGGTTTTCTGTAACTCATCTAATTTGATGAATTGGAACTATTAATAAGTTAACTTTGTACAGTTTTCAGGCCTGGTTCATTCTGTAAGCTTGTCAGCAGCATGCTTTCTGCCCTCATTTTGTTTCGCTGTTGGGAGGGAAAACATATTTGGGGACAAGTATCCCCAAGAGCTGTAACAAGGAAGCACAGTAATCATCAGCTTACTAAAGCAATACTCATTTCCGTGAGTGAGCTTTTGACCCTCAAGTTCTGTTGCAAAATTTGGAACAGCACCTCCTGTGCTCATTTGCATTTAGTGCTTTGCAAATATTCAGACTCCCATCACAATGAGCGACAGGTTTGACTATATGAGTGGCCAGCGGCCAGAGTTGTAGCCTACAGATTCAGCAAATGCTGTAGACTTGTCTGTAGGGACCAACATGGGCAAAGTAGCTGTAGGTTGAGAAAATGATGGAAAGTGGAGCCTGGATATGAGTTAATTATTAAACTATTCAATTCCTGCACCTATCCTTTATATTGCTTAACCCAAAAGGTACGTCATGTAAATGCAATCAATTCAAATTCTTCTAGTTGTAATTTAAGCTATAACTAAATGTTATAAATTTATAATTAGTTAAGTATTTCTATACATTGCTTCAGGATGCAAGTACATGATTTAGGTGGCATTGTGTTATGATCTACTGTAGTAAATTTGAAAATGTTTCAATGGAATAAATACTTATGTGGAGTTTGCATCAATGCTGAATTCTGATCAACATGTTTGTAACCAATCCCAACCGAGCTGTCAGACAGGAGTTTCTGGAAGGAAACGGGCTCCTCTGCGGGGGATGATAACAACAACAAAGTATACTTGTATAGCGTCTTTCATGTCAGAACAAGTCAGGATGATGGGGACACCGAGTACCCAATTATTGTGGCATTGGCACAGGTCAGGTTAGCTGGTCACCCTCAGTTTACTGTAACTTGCAAGTCACTTGATAGCAGTGCAATGCCCAATTTCCTCAGCAGGCCTCCCGACTGCTGTACTGCCCCCAGAGCAATGATCTCAACCACAATTTTGCTTTGCAAGCTCAGCATACTCTGCCCTGCACACACCATTGTTTTATATTGTCCATCATCAATAATCCATCATTTCTGACTGGACGATGTAGCATTACATCTCAACCATTGTACAAAATAGAACAGTCTGTATATGCAAGAATTTCAGTTTTAATTCCCATCAACCTGAACAGGAAATTTCTTTCATTTTAAAAAGTCATGTAACAAATGTTTATTGTGTTACAACAAATGCAATGTACAGTAGTTCCTGTACTAGGAAGTACAGACTTCTCAATAAATGGGTATATATAAATCCAGCTTAAAACATGTTTTGTCACATTGTGATTTAATCAGCTGCTGATGAAATATAGGTCTTTTCTGAGATCCTCTTTTCATTCTGGAAAAATAAGAGCACCAGTTTCTTAAATTTGTGTACAAATTAAATCAAAATAACACCATGTTATTTCCTCAAAACGTTTTTACCACAGTCTAAGGGATCTACCACACAGACAGAAATTCCATTACAAATGCAATTAATCTATCCTAATTTTAGTGATAGGCATATGGATAACAGATATATAGCTTAATTCAACTTATAGCTTAATAAAACTAATTTAATTTAGTTTTAAGAATTTGTTGCAGTAACCATAACAGAAACAATAAAAAAATGTTAGTTTAGTTTACTCAGTTGGATTTGTATATTGCTGGATGTTCAGAACAAATCATCATTATCCACATGATTTTTTCTATCAGATGGGTAAACGGCAAATTTAGTCATCATAGATCCAGCAAAGTATATTGCATCCTATTGTAGGTTAGTTGTATGAATGCAAAGATTGTAGACAAATTTACAATGGTATAAATACCTTCTTCATAGTCACTCAGATTTTAGATTTTAGACGAATAATCAGTCGCTTAGTTTTCCTTCAGTTAACAGAAGCTGCAGACATTAGATTCCTTCAGAGATTAGAAAAACATTTCTATGAATCAGAAAGTAAAAAAGTCAAATCACTTTTCTAATTTTTAACATTTCAAGTTAGTTACAACATTTTCTTTCATCTATTGCAACCTCTCTCAGGCACTCGTATTTAATCTAGTCAAAATGAACTGATAACCAACTTTTCAATTTGCGACCAAGTGCACAAACAGGAATTTTATTAAAATGGATATATTTTTATTTTGTGTATAGCTACATCTCTAAACTTGGTTAAATATTCAGAATTTATTATTGTACAAGGAACAGTGATTACAGTATTTTTTAGTTGGCAGATTTACAGGACCCAGCCTCGTATTTGTGGTAATCCAGTCTCAATTTTAACATATTGCTGCTGAATCTCAGAGCTAATATTCTCATCATAACAAACAGATGGGTAAACGGCAAATTTAACTCATCATAGATCCAGCAGATTAACAGACTGATTAACTCAAACAATACATATGTGAATTATAAGTTATCCACATCAGGCTTATTTGATAAATACTGAATCTATTTACCTTCTTCGTATTTCCCAAAACAGCACTGCGATCGATATTGCAGGTCATTTCACGATACTTCCTTCTTCACAGTATTTCAGAAAGTAAAAAAGTCAAATCACTTTTCTAATTTTTAACATTTCAAGTTAGTTACAACATTTTCTTTCATCTATTGCAACCTCTCTGAGGCACTCGTATTTAATCTAGTCAAAATGAACTGATAACCAACTTTTCAATTTGCGACCAAGTGCACAAACAGGAATTTTATTAAAATGGATATATTTTTATTATGTGTATAGCTACATCTCTAAACTTGGTTAAATATTCAGAATTTATTATTGTACAAGGAACAGTGATTACAGTATTTTTTAGTTGGCAGATTTACAGGACCCAGCCTCGTATTTGTGGTAATCCAGTCTCAATTTTAACATATTGCTGCTGAATCTCAGAGCTAATATTCTCATCATAACAAACAGATGGGTAAACGGCAAATTTAACTCATCATAGATCCAGCAGATTAACAGACTGATTAACTCAAACAATACATATGTGAATTATAAGTTACCCACATCAGGCTTATTTGATAAATACTGAACCTATTTACCTTCTTCGCATTTCCCAAAACAGCACTGCGATCGATATTGCAGGTCATTTCACGATACTTCCTTCTTCACAGTATTTCTGAACTAGAAATTGGATGAGCAAGCTTGCCACCTCCTACAAAAGTTTCCAATACCCTGTTAACTTATGTGAAGATGTTCAACATTCCCATTCAGCACAAATGTATTTTATCCCTTAGCTAGTTACAGGAGTCAACCTGGCTCAGTTGGTATCACTCAACTCAATCAAAAAGTGCCTGGTCTAATTTACATTGCTCTGGTACTGTTGCATTGTCAAGAGATGCTATACTTCCTATGACACTTTGAACTGAAGTCCTTTCTCATTCAAAATTGATGAGCATTAAAAATATCTCATGGCAGTATTCAAAAAGAGAATGGATTTTCTCCTGGTATCCTGGCCAATAATGCCCCAGATAAAATTAGTCATTTACTTCATAGCTGTTTATGGAACCTTGCGATGTGCACATTAGTTGTTGCTTTCGCCTATAAATGCTGTCACTACACTTTACAATAAAATAGTGAGACTTCAACTACGTGATACTGCACTACATTAAATTCAGGGATTATAATTAATCATCTATTCGGAGTACATTTTACCAGATTGAGAAATATGAAACCAATGAAGCTCTCAGCTAAAAATATACAGTGTTAACAATGCATGTAATTTAAACAGATTTAGAAACTCATAGCTCACTCTTTTTTTCTAGCACTGACCACCAATATTGGAAGACATGGCAACATTTATTGAAATGTTTTTCATTGAGTGAAAAACAATTTTACAAATTGGGATGTCTGCCAATGAAAAACTAAAATATGTAAGAGTAACAAATGGAGTAGGGCACAAACAAGTAAATTTGCTGTCTTGCTAGTTGCAACATAAGGACATGTGAACACATCAGGGCTTTCTTAGAATTAAAAGTCTATATCCCCAACGTTGCTCCAATAGACATTTTATCTGAAACCTATTTTCATTATTCCAAGCACAATTTATTTTATCCCCTCATTTGTGCTGGCACACATTCTTAAGATTTTGAAAGATTAGCTGCAACAAGAATGCAATTAGACATCAACAAGGGTCAGATTTGCATGACCAGTTTTTGGGGTACAATTACAGCTCAAATTCCACATTTTTTTTATTGCTGGTATCTCAGAATTATCATATCCTCATCATACAATCAGATGGGTAAACGGCAATTGTACTCATTATAATTCCAGCATAAATACAGCCCAATTATTTAAATACATATTGTTCTCAACTTAAATTATATTTTTATAAAGTTTCCCCCTAAAGAAAGCTTTTAAATATTTACTGTGAACGTGTTTAATAATGTATCATTTTTATTTATCTTCATTTTCAGCAACAGTACTGTAGCAGATCAAAGGCCATCTCAAACTCAGAATTTGGTATCAGTGTTTTTATACCAGAAATTGGTGATCATCCTTGCTGGCAACTGCAAGTTTGTAATGATAAGTTAGTTAATATGAACACATTCATTGTTCTTAATCAGCACTAATACATTTTACACTTGAACTAGTTAATCACCTTTTCCAAGTAAATACAACATGGCAAGAGATTTTTTTGAAAATTGAACAATGAAACTCTAAATAATGTTCGCAATAGGTTTCCTTTTCTTCCTCAGAACATTCATTTTGGAACTTGGGCGCAACTTTTTTTCAAAACACAATCACTACACTTTATAGTAAAATCCCATGAAGCACTTTGAGAAAGCCACCTGACATGAAAAGTGCTAAATCAAGGGCAATTCTTTAAAAAAAATCATATTGAAAACTTACTGCAGAATAATGAACTTTCATTCATCAGAATTAATGACACCAGTGGTCCTTTACACAACCAGAATTTATTTGGTGACAATAAAACAATTTTCAATGTTGCTGCTGGAATCTCAGAATTATAATATCCTCATCATACAATCAGATGGGTAAACGGCAATAGGTACTCATCATAATTCCAGCATAAATACAATCCCAATTAATTCAAATATATTCTTCTTTACTTAAATTATATTTTTACAAAACTGCCCTTAAAGGAAGCTTTAAAATATTTACTATGAACTTGCTTAATGGTGCATCATTTTTTATATTTACCTTCATTTTTACTGCAGCAGATCAAACGCCTCTCAGACTCACAATTTGTTAGCAGTGTTTTTGTACCAGATATTGGCAATCATCTTTGCAGCCAACTGCAATGATAAATTAGTTAATGTGAACACATTCATTGTTTGTATTCAGCACTAAAACATTTTACACTTAACCAGTTAATCACCTTTTCCAAGTGAATATGGCAAGAGATTTTTTTAATAGAAAAATAGAACAATAAAGCTCTAATTTAAACAATGGTCGCAATAGGTGTCATTTTCTTACACAGAACACTCACTTTGGAACATGGGAGCAACTTTTTTTTCAAAACACAATCACTACACTTTAAAGTAAAATCCTGTGAAGTGCTTTGAGACAGCCACCTGACATGAAAAGTGCTATACCAAATACCAACGTTTTTTTTTAAAAAAATCCATATTCAAAACTTATTGCAGAATAATGAAGTATTGTTTGTTAGTACTAATGACACCAGTGGTTATCTACACAACTAGAATTTATTTGATGATGATAAAACAATTTTCAATGATGTTGCTGGATTCTCAGAATCATAATATCCTCATCATACAATCAGATGGGTAAACGACATAGGAACTCATCACAATTCCAGCATAAACACACCACAATTAATTCAAATATATTGTTCTTCATTTAAATTATATTTTTACATCAATCCCCTTTCAAGGCTTTAAAATATTTACTATGAACTTGCTTAATGATTTTTATTTACCTTAATTTTCATCAAAAGTATCTCTGCAGCAGATCAAAAGCCATCTCACTCAGAATTTGTTATGACAAAACATCATAGAGCTGAAACGTTAACTCATTTTCGATTCTCCACGGATGCTTCCTGAACTGCTGCTTCTGTGTTTATATCAGAATTTGTTATGAATGTTCAGCGTTTTTGTACCGGAAATTGGACGAACATCCTTGCTGCCCACTGCAACAGTTTGTAACGATAAGTTAACGTGAACACATTCATTGTTATTATTCATCACTAACACATTTTGCATTTAAACTAGTTAATCTAATCACCTTTAACAAGTGAATACAATATGGCAAGAGATTTTTTTCTTTAGAGTATAATTTACAGAAAAAATCCTGTCTTTGAGACATCCACCTGACATGAAAGGTGTTATACCAACTACAATTTTAAAAAAAGTCAGTTGAATGAAAGCCTGCATTACAGGTCAGTTTTGCAGGCAACGAAAAAGTTAAATGTGAAAAATAAGAGACTGCAAATGCGTAAACTCATCATCTGCCTACGAGAGCAAGCAACGTCAAGACAAATGGCTTCATCTGGGGTGCCCATAGCATTAAAATCTAAAACTAGCAACTTGATTTTGCTATAGTGGATATTCCTTCTAAAAAACATTTTAATATTCTAAATAAAATCAATTTAATGCATTATGCAGGCCCTCAGCTTTTGTATCATCAATTGCATGTAGTTCCAACTAAACAAACAGGAATTTACATTAATGAAGGACTATTTTTCACAGCGTACATGGCTTACATTTTATGGTTCAAACCTTGTCACATATTCCAAACTTACTGTAGAATAACTAAGTATTGTTTGTTTTTAGTATTAATGAACCATAATTTATATGGTGATAAAACAATTTTAAATGCTGCTGCTGGAATCTCAGAATTATTGTATACTCATCACGTAATCAGATGGGTAAACGACATTAAGTACTCATCACAATTCCAGCATAAATACACCCCAATTAATTCAATACATATTGTTCATTATGTAAATTTACTTGCAAGCAGACTAATTAATGCTACTCACCACAAAGTTATTTGATACATAAATTTTATTTACCTTCATATTCACCAAAACGATACCACAGCAAATGAAATGTCACCTTAGACATTTGAAATGACATACTGAAGTTTTCACATGGTACTTTTGAAGCAGACATTGGTTGAAGATATTTGCCACCATCTGTAACAGTATACAACATGTTTGTTAATCAGAATGGCACTGTACCTATTCAATATTAATATAACTTGTCCTTCAACTAAATAAATTCCCAGTCATGGCTAAATACATCATATCCAACTGAGAATTTTCAAACAACGGAAAGGTGAATCGTAAAATTAGATAAGGTCTACAATGCATGTATTCAAACAAATTTAGTTTTTCTTAGCTCAATTTAAGATGCAAAGTAGAAAATATTCTAAAGATAATAATATACCTTGCATGTGATATAGTGACTGCTTCAACACAGCAAAACATCTCAAAGTATTTTAGTTTTCTGTGAAGTGTAGTGGCTAATTGTAAGTAAATGTGACGCCCAATTTGTCTACAACACAAGCAGATAAGGGGTGAATGACCAATTTAACTGAAGAAATACTGGCAATACACTGGGAAAAACTCATGAACGCAATCCAAAGGAACACAGAATAAGACCTCAATTTAATGCCTCATCCAAAGAACACCACCTCTCACAATCCAGCCCCGAGTGTCATCCAACGCCATAAAATCAAAGTCCCTAACATGACTTGAATCTACAACCATAATGACAATAGAATAATCTAACCTAAGCACAATGCATATTAAAATGTAGCATATTTTAATTAAGAGTATATTTCATTTCTAGCACTCATCCTACATCCTTCATATTTTCCCAATCAGTTTGTACTTCTGTTATTAATCATCTAAAGTAGACAGTGATTTTGGCATAGCATTTGGAGCGCCACTGGATGCAAAACCATAAATATTTGTGGAAAACTGGTTATTTAAAATTTTGATTTCAAAAATGCAAACTCTAAATTACCAAAAAGCTGAAAACATTAATTGGATTATCTTCTACAATAGACATTACAACTTATTTTAAAAAAAAGGAGTTTTATATTTGGTCCAATCTATAAAACATAATTTTCAGCAACATTAAACTGGCTATTAAGTGAAGGCTGATCCATTTTGGTTCATATTCATAACAAGAGTATTACAGTATGTATGACATTAATTTGACACATGCAAATATAATGAAAGATTAACAACCAGGGTACAAAGGTCATGTGCTCCACAGCTTGGCTACATTGGTCCCAGTTCATCCAAAGCAGCTCATCCCCGCCAGTTCATTTCAAGACCATGACCCAGACCACGATTATGAGACCATAGAGACAATGAAATGGTCTATTTAAGTCCCAGCAGAATTAACTCTGACCACCAGCTATCTCACCCATACTTTTGGAGAGAACAGGGGCATGGTCAGGTCCACTGTTCAGCTCTGATCATGACGCCCTTGTGGCAAGGGGCAATTTATCATCTAAATTAGGACACACAGCTGCTGACATGATTTATGATGACACCGAGACTAAGAAATGTCTCAAGTTCTTTTGTAGCTCAATTTATCATGTATGGAAGAGTAAAGTAAACTCCTACAAATCAATTGTTATTAATTCTGACCGCTTATCCAGAGACAATTTTAAGTTTTAATATGAAAGTTCATATTTTAAATAGTGTCCAAATGGCTAAAACCCAGGTATATTTTCGCTTCACAATACAGACAAGGTCATACGTTTTTAAATAAACTGACTGGGAATATAGTTTGTGCATAAACTACTACCTCCCAAAAATATAGTATAACACAACATTGGTTGCTAAAAGTAAACATTTACATTGCAGAATAAAAATTATAACCATACATAAAACATTAATGCTCTAACATTAAAAGTCAGAGATGATCCTCGGAATTGCAATGACTTGGGCATTTTATAGGGTAAAGCAGTAACCCAGGAAGGTCCCACAAGTGTGAACAACCAATTTATGTGGAAAACTGTTGGCCGGGACACCGGGAGAAACACTTCACCCCTTGAATAGTGTCACCTGAACAAGAAAACTGGGTGTTATCTTATTTGAAGGTCACTATATAAATACACGTGGCATTTCGAGTGCCCCATAAGTTATCAGATCTGGGATGAGACCACCAAAATGGAATAAAAACCTCAGCGAAACGAAGCATCGAATGTCTTATTATAAAACGTCTAAAAAAAAAGAGAACCGCTCTTGTGTTTCTCTCTTTTTTTTAAAAAAAAGGGGCAATAATAATCCTGAAGTTTCAAGATGTAAAACCTGGAGCTAAAATAAAACTCTCAGGATTTACATTAGTCAGAGCTACAGACACGGGCGCCACCGCCCCACCACGTGGCGCAGTGCGGTGCGGTGCCCCCCCCGTCACACGCACACGGCGCCGGCCCGGTATTACTCGCCTCTCCGCGTGTGCGGCCGGTTATTACTCGCCTTTACTCTTCCAATGTGTTTGCACACCAGCAGTATCTTCTCACCCAGGCGGTGGCGCGGGGGGAGGGGGACGTTATTCCTCTTCTCTACATACACACAGACGGGGGCCGGTTATTACACCTCTCCACGTGTGGGGCCGGTTATTACTCGCCTCCACAACCACGCGGGCCCGGTTATTACTCGCCTCCACAACCACGCGGGCCCGGGTATTACTCTCCTCTACACACACGCGGGCCCGGGTATTAATCTCGCTACACCCACGCGGGCCCGGTTATTACTCTCCTCTACACACACGCGCGGGGCCGGTTATTACTCTCCCCTACACACACGCGCGGGGCCGGTTATTACTCTCCTCTACACACACGCGCGGGGCCGGTTATTACTCTCCCCTACACACACGCGCGGGGCCGGTTATTACTCTCCCCTACACACACGCGCGGGGCCGGTTATTACTCTCCCCTACACACACGCGCGGGGCCGGTTATTACTCTCCCCTACACACGCGCGGGGCCGGTTATTACTCGCCTCTGTACACACGCACAGACTCGCGGAGCCCCCGGTGCTCGACTCGCAGTCGCCTTTCGCGCCAACACGTGACTCGGCGGCGCCTGCCGCTGCACTCAGCCCGGTATCAGTCCGCTGGTCGCGTCACGTGCCATGACGTGTTACAGTCTCGGGGCGGGGACGCCGGCACGTGACCGGGGGACCGCACTACTGCAACTGAAATGTGGCCGCACTCTGCTCCGCCCTTCGTGAAGTAGTGCAACCTGTGTCTCCACCAGGACCAGAGGACAGAGAGGACAATAAAAAAAACACTTTGAAAAGAGGGAAAGGAGGGGACAAGGCAGAGGGATTGGGGAAGAGCGTTCCAAAGCTTTGGGGGTGGGGGGGGTGAAGGGCGTCGTGGCTGAAAGCGCGGCCGCCGTCGGTGGAGCGGAGGGGCCGAGGGACGAGCCGGAGGCCAGAGCCAACCGAGCGGAGGCAGCGGGTGGTGGGAACGCTGGTCGGAAAGGCCGGGAGGAGCCCAAGGGCCGAAGGGATGGGATTTGCAGGGGAGTGAGGAGTTTGAAATCGACTGTGTGACCGATTCGTGGATAATTACTCCTCGCATCCGATACGGTGCCTTGTGGCGTGAGGCGGACGTCGCAAATCGATTTGTAATAATCCTTTGCGTTCGATATGGCAGCTTATCGCGTCTTCCGAGCTGCCTCGAAGCGCTTCACCGGATATACTGCGAATTGAATTGACTGTATATTTTGTGGGTGAAACAGGGTTTTGCGGCGCCCGCCGTAAAGTATAGTGGCCGTGTGCTTTTGGAGGCAATTCCAAGTTTCTGAAACGTCAAGAGAATACTATGCACAAGGCTTTATATACTGTATATATGAAAAAGCCGACGCTTTTTACAGGGAGAGTGAAAAACCGCCATAATGTGATTTGAAAGTGATGTTGTGATGCATACCTCTAAAACTGGCATTGAAAGCACTGTCTGGCAAGCTTTCTGTTACTTGTCCAACTCGGACCACCCGGTTTGTTGAGGCTTTGGCATGCGGGGTTCTCTGGAGCCAAATTGAATAATCCCTTCCCTCAGTCACAGTTCTGCTTCTCCAAATCCTGCTGCCAGCCCAGACTGGCTGGTCTGTCATCGACATTGCCCTGAGGTATTATGGACATGTACTCCGATGGCCTCAGAGGATTGACTTGATTCTGAGCCCCAAAGAGACGCTGTTTACCTACCCTCCATCAGAGTATAGTCACCATTTGGTTATTGGATATCCTCCAAGGATACTTTTCCAAAGAACCTTTGCTATCTGCTGTGATCTACTTTGATGTAACATAGTATCAAGCTGTGTATGCACAAATACTTTCCAACAAAAGGATCACTTTGCATCTTTTTTAAAATGTATTTTATTCTCACATACAAATCCACAGCCGAAAACATGGGAAAATAATCTGCTCCAGTGCCTCAGATGAATCCTCTTGTAAGCCACTGGAAGCAGCCAGAGGTGACTTGACCCTCGGATTGTTCCGAATTCCCCATTAGAACATGCCAGTCCAAAACACCTTCAATAGACCTTGCTATGGCCTGCCTTGGCCACATAGGGATAGGATATTAGACTCTTCCAATGTGTTTGCACACATACCAGCAATTTCCAACAGAAGTAGGATTAGTGTGATGGAAACAGGTTAAAATATTTGATATATCAATAATAATCGTTACATTTGATAATGCGCCTTCTCACGTTGGAATGGTGTGCCAAAGGGTTATTCAATAATTCAATGTTCCAGGATATTCAATAAATTGCTCATAACTTACTCCAAGGGAATAGGGCTCAGTGATGAGTGATCTGGAGTGGTGAGTTAGACATATGTATAAATACATAAATAAATGAGGTCAGGATATTGACTGATAATTCAGCATCTTGGGATATCTTTCCGACATGAAAGGCGCTATATGAATGTAATCTGAATGAATGATGACTTAAGTGATAGTGACAAGTTAAACCAGGGTTAAGTTATCAGGAGTTTACTGCAAAGTGGAATGACTCCTGTGTGTTTTGTGGACGAATGAGGCAGCCGATTTTGTGCACAGTAAAGTCCTACAAACAGCCATGAAGTGAATATGCAATTTTATTTAGGGGATTGTTGATTAGGACATTGGGAGCAACTCCCTTCTCTTTTTGAATAGTATCAT